ATTATTATTATTATTATTATTATTATTATTATTATTACTACTACTACTGTGGTGAGGCTTCCAGACAAAGGTAATCTCCACAAACACAATGATTATTGATTGTTTTAACACTAACACAGAGTTGGCTGATGAACTCAACAGTAGACAGAAGTAAGGAAAAAGCTTAGATCTCATAACATCAGTGGGCAGATACTGAGGTCTTTCAACCAGCAGAAAGTACCCAGAATCTGGAAACGGACAACAATCATACCAGTTGCAAAACACAAACAGCCCTGTATATATAGCCCTGTGGATCCCAGTAAACCCTGACATTATTATATCTCTTATATTCACCTCTAAAAGGTCTTGGGACACATGCCAGGCCTTTTCTTAAAGATTTCTCCTCACCCTTTCAACATCATTCAACTACACGTGTTAGTGGAGCGATTACTCTCAATTATTTTAATAGACTTTAATATTTTAGGTTGAATCTTAGACTTTTTGACCTACAGATCAAGGTTGTACATCAGTGCAGCTTTGTTTTTCCAATGGGTCTCCTCAGGGCTGTGTGGTATCCTCCATCCTCTACATTTTGTAGAAAGAGGTCTGGCTGTAGAAGTTCTTTTGAGGACAGACACATCATTAAGTTTGCTGATGACTCATTGTTAGTCTCCTTCAAGATGTAGAGAGTAATCATGGGCCTGTAAAGGGTTATTTTGTTCCATTGTGTAACATTTCCTTTAACTTAATGTGTCAAAATCCAAAGAAATGATCATTAATTATAGGGAGCAACCACCAGCTGCAAAACTAACAATGACGAAAATGAAATTGTCAGTCAAATTGTCATTGTCAAACAGTTACAAATATCTTGGCAATATCGTTGATTATAAGCTAACTTTTCAGGAAAACACAGATGACATATGTTAGAAGAGCCTTCAGTGATTATTATTCCTAAGAAAATTCCGTTATTTTAATGTGTGACAATGATTATTGTGTAGAACTTTAATTGAACGTGTCCTTACATTCACTGCACTGGTTTGGTAACCTTAATATATGCAATAAATAAATAAGAGACGGAGCAGGATTGTGAAGGTCTCCAGGAAAATTACTGGTGCACAGCAGTAACAGCTTTCACACACCTGTCAGCAGCTATATCACCCTGATACATACAACTGGGAGTCCACTGAAGCTCAGCAGGTGTGAGCCTGGCCAGTACCTGGATGGGAGACCTCCTGGGAAAGCTAAGGTTTAAAGTTAAGAAGTGTTAGTGGGACAAGTGGGGGACTCACCCTGTAGTCTGTATGGGTCCTAATGCTGCAGTATAGGGATGGGAATACTATACTGTAAAAAAGGTGCCATCCTTTAGATTATTATTCAAACAAATATAGGACCAATATTATCACTGACTGTCATAACCACCCCATGTACACTGAATCTGAGCTCCTTCATCTGGGCGCCAATTTAGACTACTCAGATACAAGTGCAATAGCATCAAATCATCTTTTATTCCCACGGTTATAAACCTATTCAACTGGGACAATTTATTGTATTTTTCAATTTATATATTTATTTTTCTTCCTCATGACAGATGTACATCTCTTACTTGTTAATGGGTTCATGTTGTCATAAATGTATTGTGCATTATATAATGCCTTTTACCTGCCTGCAAAGCAAATTTCCCAGTTGGGAAAATAAAACTAAGTCAATCAATTAATCAAATCATTAAGTAAATCAATCATACTACAGACAATATGTGTTGAGCATCAAATTAAATGTATCATCTTTAACTGCAATAGATCAAAAAACGTATTGCTAGCAAAGGAAAATTACAATCTTCTTTAGCCAGAGACCAACAGACATAACAAGGTTGACATTTGTCATCAGTTCTTCTATAAAAGTAACAGGCTAGTAACATGTCAGAAAACCACTGTAAGCTTTACAAGTTATACATCTGTGATGCATGCTTACACCAGGTTGGAGACTAGAGCCTGGGCAATCGCTTGCTTGCTCACTGGTCTCTAAGCCCTAGATGCCACACATTGCCACACATTGTCGCGGGTCATCCTATAGAATGGGTTCACATCTGTCAAACAGGATATCCACAGCATAACTCACATTATGCTCATCACAATAAAATCCGGATCTGGAACTGAACCCAGGACCCTAGCACTGTAAGGCATCAATGCTAACCACTGTATCATCGTGCTGCCCCCTCAGGATAAATTATTACGTGAGCAGTATGAGGCCCTATGTTGTGAATGAATGAACCTAGCAAGAATGGCAGGAAGTAAAGCATCCTGTAGCCTTGTTGTCATCAATCACAATTAGTGGAGTTCTGAAGAAACTACGTATACCGGTGCTCATTCCACACTGCAACTTCCTCATCGATTGGTCTAATGAGGTTATTCGGTTAAAGTAACTGTGCCTCTTGGCCACTCACAAATAATCAATTAAAATCATATCAAAAACAGTTTAGCATAATTTAAATATACATTTGTAATAAAGAAGACATGCAGAAGGTGATCAGTTTGTTTTGAGACTCAATATGTTATTCATCTTTCACATTGACATAATACAAATCACAGAAACTATTATTGCAAATGCTGCTTGCACAGACATATATGATTGAAACCATCTCCAGGTCTGCTGCATTACAATGTTACTCAGAGGACTTTGCTATACAGAACTAATGCAGCTAAAGAAACTCATCTGCACCAAATCCTTATGCATGAAGTGTATGCTGACATTTAATTATGAAGTTTAATGCTTCTTTTTTTCTAAGATGTACTGGGCTTCTTTATCTGAAAGAACACACAAACCTTATGCAGTCACAGTTTTTGTTGCTTACAGTCGTTTCGGCATTGCTCATTACAGTTAACAATTGTTTATAGAAATGACAATGTCAGACAGTTTTAAAACAATCATCAGTTCATTAATGGAAGTTTCACTAGGGAAACACTTCTCACATAATTCAATTTTTCAATTAAGTCACAGCTAATATACAGTACACTCTGTACATATGGCTGCGAGCCTGGAATAACTTGAGGATGATTTTAATTCTGACATACCAGTCTGAAATCAAGCGATAAGGATGACATTTAAAAAAGAAATCCATTTGAAAAAAAAAGTTTTTTTGAAGTATTACAAAACAAATTGCAGAAACCTGATGAAGTAAAAAAAAAGAAGAAATGTCTGCATATTTAACTAACTGCCAAGGAGGAAGACTTTCATTAAATTCCAGAAAATGTTTGATAAAATAACAAGCCTCTTCCTGTTTTATTAAACGTGTTTAACGGCTCTAGTTTCCTTTTAAGAGAAAGCTAACATCCATGTTAAGTGATAGAACTAGGACTTGGAACTAATGTCAGTTTATCAAATTTTTCTAAGGAAAATAAAATGTCATGAATACTGGAATGTAAAAAAAAACTCAAACTCAAACTCATCAAATCACTCAATGTATAAATATACAACAGATAAGCTAAAATAAAAATTCAATATGTAATTTGTACAAAAGGTGAGATACATCTTCACAGATCAAAATTATTCCAGATCTTTCAAAAAGTAATTACAGAAGCTTCTACTACTTTGTAATCATAATTGCCAATCCAAATTCTCTGAAGTGCCTGTTTTAAATTGCCTCTAGCCACTTGCTGTTATTACCTACAGTATATATTCCCTTTTGGACAGTAGGTTTCCACTCCAGGTCTCTATAACAGGTTTGCATTGGGGAAATTACAATACAGACAACCTCAATATTATTGAGATCCATCTGCCATGATTTACAGTTAATTTCCTACCCAGGTCAGTGAGTGGGCAGTGACATATCATTTTACACAGCAACATGAGACCTTAAATCTGATTAAGTATTGAGACTGCAGGCATTCTTCAGCCAAGTGACTGGCTGGGAAAGAAAAACAAATTCTGAGACAAAACTGAGCTGCATCCAAAACAGCACCACATTTTCAAGGTATCCCAAATTATGAAGTTCATGTAAAGCCCTATAAAGAGCATTTAGTTATTTCACAAAGTTTAGCTCAAAGACTCATCATAATCCAAGACAGGATACTGGAGGATGCTTTGCAGAAACAGTGTAACCAGTAAACCCGTGTAATTATAAGCACTTACCAAGCAGAGCAGACATGTTCTGGAAAATTCTGAGGAGCTCAGGTGTGATGGAGGGGCTGTTTTCCAATGTTACTAACCTGCAAATAAATCAGAGCAGCATTTCTCAATGCTCAGCATGGGAGACTAAAGAAATAAAGACTACTGGTGGAAGTCTATAATGATCTATTTTTCTAAAAGACTACTTTTCTGTGATTATACAAAATGCCTTGGGGGAAAAAAAAACCTTGTTCTTTATTCTGACCAATCTATATATCATTCAAAACATCACAACAACAGAGATTTTGATAGAAGTAAATGTTATTCCTTATTTTTTATGTCTATAAAGACTTCCTAATGTGAAACTTATCATAAAATACACAAAGAATCCTTTAGCCACAGCTAATGGCATGTAGTTCAAAAGCAATATGAATACTCTCTAAAGGAAGGAAAATGTTTGGAAAAATTGCAAATATAATCCCACATACAGGTACCAATGTGAAGTAACTTATCAGGACACTGGGTCACCACATGTAGTGTAAGTACCATGGAATAGTCGACCTACGTCTGGAATTGTACAAGTGCCATTCTTCAAAAAGAAAGTCAATCAGGGCTGATTATTCATTTGTCGAGAAAATGGTGACAGATAATTAATTTGACCAATCACATTTATTCTCCTCTTCTTTTGGCTCTTGTAGGGGCAAGGCCTATTATTTCACTTAGAATTAAGTATCGTTAAATATTTCTGTGCCTTGACCAAGCAGCCTGGTGCCTCTCTCTAAATGCACAGGAATTTGCCTAAAGAGGCCTCTTTGATAAGAGACATCGTAAAATTCTATCAAGCTGAACAATATAATGATGTGTAGCACAAATGGGCTCCAGCAAATCTCCAGGCTGGTTCTCAAAGACCACAGGACCATCACCCAAAGAAAGATCAACCAATAAGTGATCTGTTAGACAGGTACCAGAACCAAACCTCACAGCATCTCAGCCTAGCACCTACTGGTGATGTAGCCCCATATACAGGTAAATTGGAACACAAGTCCTTTCTCTCCGCTAAACTCAAGCTCAATCAATCTCTCCAAGCAGTCCAAGTCAGGACAGGAGGAAGATATTCTCTCTGAAACAGAACAAATCCTGTGTTTGGGACCCCACTTATTTTCATCTGATTAACGAAATTAGACAGTTGGACTCTTTTGTCAACTTCAAGTATATCCAGAATGTTCTGAACAAAAAGCTATAGCATGGACTAAACTAAGTTCCCCCTTTTGTTTACCTTGTGAGCCTCAATAAGACAAACTGTGTAAAGACTGTTTAAAAGACCAAAATAAGCAAGCCACGACTTTGGCAGAGCTGCCCGTGGCCGATGCAAGTACTAGGCAATGCCAAAAAAACTCTCTCTCCTCCCAGTACCAAGAAGCTGGCACAGTAACCCAGCTTTTACCTGTGCGAAGTTTAAACTCATCAAGGACATTTGGACAATGGATCTTGGAGTATAAAACTTGATTTAATTATTCACATCATAACTGTTGAGAGGTGAACGATTATTCCAAATGCATGTTTAAAGTTTAGTTCACAATAGAAAATGTAAATTTACTTGTGTCTGAGAATATAATAGTGATTTAGCTATATGAGACTGATAAAACCCATGCGCTAAACTGCAGCACATTATAGTTGTGCATATTTTGACAATGAAATGATTAAGTCTAATCTTTCAATCCCTGAGTGACAGTCAACCATTCATGTTCACGGCAGATCTTTTTAGATCTATTTAGAAACCATGTGTGAGACTAAATTATTATGTTTGGTTATTTGGGTGATTCCTAAAAGGTGTTAAGTATACTAGCAATTTACTGTTACAATGTATGATAGCTACAGCAAATTACAGTAAAACACCCCATCTCCTACACTGTGCTCTTTGCACTGCTTCTACTGGACTCACAAACGAGCACTGCAAGGTGTAATGAGATGCTTGTGCTCTGCTAACCAACCATCATTTCCTAGTCTGTGGAGCTGTAAGCAGATGGCTCGTTTCCCAGATTGAAATATGCAATCATTTGATCTGCAGTTGAGAGGCTGTTTTGCCTTTCACTTCAGATTAATGCACAGATATCATCATCTTGTAGTATAAGCTTCCTCCAGCTGTTGCCCACTGCTGGTGATGTTTCTCCCTCCAAGTCCCATGCTGACATCACCTTAGATACCACTGCTCGTGAACCATCAGAAAGATGAGCTGTCTTGGTCATGGCTTTGCTCTTTCAAAGTCACTGAGGTCTTCTCTCGCAGCCATGCTAACCTTAATTCCAGGAGTCAGGGATAATATCACCCTGCAACTCACAACTGCCAACCCACTGAAACTAAGCAGGTGTGAGCCTGGCCAGTACCTGCATTGGAGTAAAATGGCTATATACTGTAAAACGGAACCATCCTTCGGATGAGACGTAAAACCAAGGTCCTGACTCTTGGTGGTCATTAAAAATCCCAGGGCGTTTCTTGAAAAGAGTAGGGGTGTTAACCAGGATTCCTGGCCAAATTTCCCATTGGCCTTTACTAATCATGGTCTCCTAATAATCCCCATTTGTAAACTGGCTTCATCACTCCATTCTCCTCCCCAGTGATAGCTGGTGTGTGATGAGAGTACTGGAGCACTATGGCTGCCGTTGTATCAACCAGGTGGGGCTGCACATTGGTGGTGGTGTACAACTCTTTGAGTGGAGTGTCCAAAAAGTGCTATATAAGCATAAGGAATTATTAATTATTATTATTATTAGGAGTACAGGTCTGTCCAGCATTTTTATATATCATGCTAGGAAGTTATTTACTAAATATAAGCATGAGCCACATCTGTATGGAAGACCTTGCTTTCAATTTACATGGTGTCTCTTATGAATACAGTTGCTTCCATTTTTTGTCAACTACCCGTACCTGAATTAATAATAGTAAATAACTAGAATGTTGTGTTATATTTTGCTTCAACTGGATCTGCAATAGTAAATGGAACATTCTTATTCATCAAAATACCATAGATTTACTCCACAGTTTTCTTTCCATAATTTTAGTTTCAGAATCTTGTTTCATTTCTCTTCACTTCTATAACCGTTTTATCAGCACAGGAGAAAAGCAGCTAGCACACATGCACACTCAGAAAAGCAGTTGGGACATCTGCCAGCATACAAAGCTTATAGCAGAGCCAAAGCAGACACTACTCTCACTGACAGGACTGGAAGCTTGCAATGCTTGACAAGCCACAAGGGCACCGACTGCACAGCAAGCCAAGATACCCTGGTGGACTTGAATCCATCCAGTCCCAGTAGTGCTCAGTCTTGGGAATTACAGTTCCAACAGCTAATGATAAGCCCAGATTCAGACCACTGATCTGTGAACTATAGGCTCCAACCTGCTACTAAAGAGCTGCCTCTACTGGCTGAGTTACTTGGGAGACACTGGGGTTATTGCTTTTCTTATGGTCAGAAATACTGGAATGTACTAGCAACAGTCATATACAAATTAAAGCACCGACATGAAGATATTTTTATTTGCTTGTGCATATTATACATTCAGTATATTTAATATATTACATTTAATACTAATCTTTAACATGTTAATGTCATGGTCAATGGGCATTTTGTCCACCAATACCCATTATAATTCTGTTGGGTTTTTTTGGCTTTCAATAAAGAAAGTCATTTTCACTTCAACAGGTATCAATTTCTGTATTTAATATTTTTCTTCTTAAATACTTGCATCTTGTACAAAGTTACAAAAAATACCTTCCGAATGTGCACAGATGCTCATAAAATTACTGTATAGTCCAATTTTTCAAAGAAGAGAAGTCATGCTTTTAGTAACCATGGTAACCTACTTTATTAAACTGGCAACTTTCATCACTAAGACTATAAAAAATTGCAAAGACTTACACAGTACAAATGTGTAAGTGGGATGACAAGGCATTTTAGAGTCTTTCATCATGCTATATCTCTTTTCAAAGACAATACAACTGTGATTATAGTAAAGATGAGTTTTGTCATGTTAAATCATATTAATTATTTCTCAAAAGCTTGATGAAACTGAAGAAAATGGTTTCCACAAAGTAATTCCAAACAAGGTTTCTGATAAGTGAGGACTTGCAAGAACCTATGGATGAAAAATGTAAAAGTCAAGACTAATCTTGAAGTTGGGATAATTTAATCGGGTTTCTGTTTGCATGCCTCCAACCTCTCAACTGCAATAAATAACACAGAACACAAGATAAACAGCACTCTCTTCAAATTTCCACTCACACAGAAGACCTGGTTGGCAGCCAATATTTGTGATGGTACCATAAAAATTAAAGCCAACCTAATTGCTCTAATGGAATGGCCAGATTTATAGAACACAAAACTTTATATCAGTAAAATGTAACATCAGAAGCAGAAATATAAATGAGTTATAGAACAGAACAAAACCCAGCAGAATCCAGAATAAGCCTGAATTGGATTCAGGTTTTGGAGCATATGAGAATTACATAAAAGCAAGTAAAAGGTATAGAAAAAAAATGAGAAATTAGTAGACTCAGGAGGTACTGTACCATAATTAATTTGTAAAGTTAAGCTGTATTCATTTCTAGTCCACCGACAGATTCCTCAGCAGACCGGTAAAGGGAGTTATGATATTTTGAGGAATCTTAGTTTTCTTAGTCTAAACTAATGAACGATGTGGGAGAGAGGCAATTCTGCTGTTCAGGATCTTCAAAGAGGAAAAAATGATATTTTAAAATAACTTCAACAGTGGGGAATATAGGAATTTAAATGGAAAGTTAGAAGTAGATATAGTATTCATTTGAGAAAAAAAACATGCATGGACTAGTGAATGTATTAAATACTTCATGAATCCATTTAAGAACCTGATTAATTCTGTGTTAACATTACTTAAATAGCATAACATGAAAAAGCTCTCAACAGCAAAAGGACCTTTCCTTGCTCTAATTATTCTTCCACTGATACAGCTTTCCCACTTAGAAAGGGTTGCTATCTCACTTAAAAAAGTCAAATGTTATATAAAGGATCTAATACCTCAAACTATGAAACAAATGGATAATACTTAAGCATTCAACTATCTTCATCATATATAATACTACTGGAACAACAATAAAATAAAACAGCCTAGTGTGAAATTAGCAAAACTGTACAAAAGAGGGTTAAGAGTGAAAATCATTATTTTAATAGAATATAAAGTATTATATCAATACAATTATGGTTTGTTGCAATATCTTCTGGAGGATGAAAAATCAGAAGGAGCAAAACAGATGACATACCACAGTTCTAGCCCATCCTCCAGCAGGTAGACATGAGGTGGCTGTGAGACATCCGTGCTTAACTGGATTACCGGCAATAGGAATGGATAAAGGTTCTTGCTTTCAGCTCCTAGCCCCTATGAAAGAGGAAAAAATGAAACACTAAAAAACTCAAAAATGGTTATATAATCTTAAAGGAAAATAATCTTCTCATTGTCACTGTTTTCAGTAGAATTTTGTTTACTGTTATTTCACTTTTATCTGCATTGTACTTACTATATTTCATGGTACATCATCAGAAAGAATCATCCTATTAACTAAAAAGGACACAATTTAATTGGCAAGACATCCAATGAGCGTAACTGTTTTGAATACCTAAGCAAAAAGTACAATCAAAAATATAGATACCATTCAACTTTTAACTAATATTTATAGTTGTGTATGGAAAAGGCCTATTATTTGAGTTAGAATTAAGTGTTATTATTTGAAATCTTTAATCTTTGTGTGCCTGGCTGTATTATAGCCAAGGAATGTAGCTCAAGAGGCCCTGTTTGTGATCTCAGCCACAGAATGACCTAGTGGTCTTTGTTTTTGGATGGATGTCCACTGCTGGTATCTGGATGTCTAGCAGAGAACCATAAGCACCTGGTTTCACAAAGAAGATCCACCAATTGAGGGTCTGTGTAAGGTGGGAACCAGAATCAAACCTGATATAAACTCAGCCAATCACCAACTTGTGATCTTGCACCGAAACCTAGATCATTTTCACTGGTTGACTTCTGGATTCTAATCTCTCTCCATCTAAACCGGCACACTGACTTTTCAAACACTTGACTGCAAGTAGTTCGAGTCAGGACTTAAAATGTTCTCCAAGATACGTGCCAGAGACAGTGAGTCAGCAAAGTACAGAATTCTGTCCAAGATATTCTCTGTGAAAAGAAGAAATCTTTGTTCATAAACCTACTGTTATCTTTCCCTGAGCAAAGAAATTAGACAGTTGGACTCCTTTTTGTTGACAGTCGGAAAATCCAAGCATATTCTGAACAAAGCTATAGCCAGGATGAACTGAGCACACCTTTTGTCTGCCTTGCAGCCTGGTTCCAAGAGGACAGACTGCTTTTAAAGACCGACATCAGCAAGGAGCTACTTAAGCAAAGCTGTCTGAGGCCAGCTCACGCTGCTTGGCAACGCCAGGCAAAAGCTTTCTCTCTTTTCTGTCTGCACTGGAACCCTCCCACCACAGAGGAATGCAAGCTGCCACTGACAAATCCACAAAGCTCTGTATCACCAGCATGAAGTTTAAACTCATCAAGGACATTTGGACAAAGGAACTTTTGAGTATAAATCTTCATTATTCACATTATAGTTCTTCTGGAGAGTTGAACTATTATTCCGAAAGCTTGTTTGATGCTTATTTCACGATAGTAAATTCATATTTACTTGTGTCTGAGAATATTAATGATTGGCTAAAAGTCGTCAAGTAGTCTCAACTTTTACTGTTATAATTTCTGATTGTTATAGCCAATTAAACCTCGCCTTTTCTACAGTCTCTTCCCCACCTTTCAACTAATTGTCAGTTTGTATTTTGTTCTCTGTCAATTTAATTGACATGAGTTAAACAAATAAGAACAGTAACAATCTTTACAACATCTCTGAATTTTAACCTTGCTCTTAAATAATTTTATTTAGAGTTTCCAACACATGTATCCAATGATTTACATTTAAAATTGTAATCAAAATGACATGAGCAGAAAATCATGGAAATGGTGGCAACATTAATAATAGGTCTTCTGGTTTTGGTTTAAAGCATGAAAATGTGTAAAAAATTGTCATTGTATTCTTAGGATAATTTTATTATTAAATATCATTCACTTTTATGAGAAATATGTTGAAATCAGAAGTCTCTAAATACAAAAATTAACATATATTTAACAGACACAGAAATATTTTTTTTTATGCAGGTCATTACAGCAAAGATAAAACTGAAAAGGGAAGGGAGCTGTATGCAAAAAAAAGTTTATTACTATAGTATACAGCAAACAAACTGACATAAAGGAATCTGCTAAAGCCCCCAAAGCACCCAAAACAAACACCATTTGTAACAGAGGAAAACAGAAGACCTACTGTACCTGTAATTGTGTTTATTTAAATGATTTTGACTAGATTCTGACAAAAATACCTGCACTTGATATTGTGGTGGTGCAAGAGACAGAGATTTAAATTGAACTAGGTGGTACAAACTTATGACTTGCGAAAGGACAAATGAAGAAGTAATGAGACCCAGGTGGATAGCATTCTTGGGTGTCAAGAGATAGGCCAGAGAAAGACCACCAAAATAAATACAGCTTTAGTCCAAATTCAGGTAAACAAGTAACATATTTAGTCCCTCTTGCATTCTGTAGTTAGCAGGGCTGAAGTAGCTCCAAAGTATTGTAAAGCTTTCAGATTGGGAGGCAGTTGGCTGAATAGTAATCTCTTCATAAGTGAAGCTTAGTGGATGCAATCCAGTTATACTGCCTCTAAAACAGCTGCAGTAATAAAACAGGGATTTTCTATATTCTCATGTCCTGAGAGTTATACTCTTCATTATTCACAAAACAAAACATTTGTATGACAGACATATATAAATGAGGTATTAAAAATGCAACAGATGAGCATTGGAACCAATAGCATTTACTGCACTTTTAATACCTCCCAGTATATGAACTTCATACATGTTCAGCACTGTCTTCACTTTCTCCTGGCTGAAAAGACTAGCTAGCTAAAAAGAATTATTCAAACATCTCATGCTGATTACAAAAAAACAGCTGAACACCCGTAACTATTTGCATGAGTGACAAGTGATTTTAAGGTCCTTGAAATCAGATGAATTACTGAAAAGTCTCCAGAAGAAATGTTAATCAAGAGACAGCACTTTTGCTGCTTAAAGTATAATAGAATCAGGATTGAAAAAGGAAGATTAAAAAAATAAACTTGAATAGCAGAATGTCAGAAATACTATCAATACGTTAAAGACCCTTAGCTACAGTTCACTTTCATCTGCTTTGACATCTTTGCAATGTCTTTGCAATGTGATATTTCCATTATCATTCCACTTATTGGTATACTTGTGACCACCTTTCCAGTGAGCAGAAACATATGGTGTCATGACTGCCTACTATTAAAGCACTGACAGGGGAACTTCCCAGGCATTTATTTCAGCAATATTTTTTACATTAAGGTTAAGCAAGGTTAAAAACAACAAAGTGTGAAAATTATAGGGAATAAAAGTCCTACACATAATTCCCTAACGGCACATAAAAGCATTTAAGTAAATACTGTGCAAATGACACACAACTCTTCATCTACTTGTCTTTGAAAAGACTAGGTCTTCAAAGAAACCAAGAAAACCTGTAAACACACTGTCCCTCACAGGACCACGAATGAACAGTAAGTCCTGCTTTATTAGCATTCAACACATTTTTTCGTCAGGAAATTTCAAATGCTTCCAAGTTCTACATACCTAGATTATCTAAATATGAATTTCAGTTTTACATCAGATATTTAGTCATCTGGAATGTCATATACAGTTAAAAAAAAAGTCAAGCAAGAGGAAAAACTTCAGTTCTGCTTTTTTTATCCATTTACATGTCATCTGCTCTTTAAAGATAACTATTCAGTTTTATGTTTATCCTAAGTAAAAAGGAACAACAGTTTTTGTCTTTACGCATATGTAGCACACACGATTGCAACAATCAGAAACAGTAATCCAAATAGGCTCTTGTGGTGGCTGAATAAATGACAATAGGTTTGTCCTTTTAGTCCAGGTCCACTCTATGTCAGTATGCGTGATAAAGACTTGTACCTGAACCAGATGAACAAGCGTAGTGAGGATGGCACATCGCAGCATGTTGTGTTCTTCTGACTGCTTCCAAAGAAGGGGCAGATACTGCACCAAACATCCCACATAGGGCCTGATCTAGAAAACACAATGATGACACATAAACTGCACATAAGCCAAAAGTGAATCAGAAACCAACCATTTTATTTGATTACAGATGTTGTAACAGAAGAGTTCTTGCTCCGGGATGAGAGTGAAAACAGATAGGCTTTATTGTATGCATACAAGGAACACCTCAAAAGTAGGGATGTTCAGAGAATACAAAGCAAGCAGCTACCTTTATACAGCCCGGTAACATCAAGATTTCCTTGGTTACAAAGACTTTGTCAGGGTGTATGGTTAAGATCATGTTCAGAACAATAAGCTATTAAGAGAAGTTGTGGTTATACGCCTGCCCTCCCTTACAGCCTTGAGATAAGCTAAAGGTTCAGAGATAAGCAAAATTCCACAGGATTAATAAGGAGTTTCATCACAGAAAAAATCCAATAAAACTTCACATCTTAACTGTTCTCTAACCACAACCAAACTGTCCTTGTATTCTTGTGCAAAAAGAATTGCAAACAATTAGAGAAGTAAGGCAGTTTTCAAAAATGTATCAAATACATTGATAAGACAAGAATCAAATTAAGGGCAGATTTTGGAGAATTGTCCGAAATTAACATCCATAATACCATCAATTCTCCAACAACAAATACATCATAATTAAATATGATTGGTGTTCAAATTTCTATATTAGTTTCACTTCACAGGAATAAAAAAATCTGAAAGCTGAACTGCAAAAATTGATACAAACAATTGCTATATTAATACCAATAGAAATGGTGTCTAGAATTCAGTATTTCCATTTACATTTGTTTTCACTGGGTAGTGAAATGACTTGTTAGTTCTGATGTTTCAACGTACTGAGTATGCCGACCTGAGACCAAATAGGGCGAGGTCAGTGAACTGTGCCTTCAGGACAGCTGATTTTATTATTGCGGAGACAACCACAAAACCGTACTGACAAATATACAGTAATTACAAGCTCAGACTTTCTACACTGCTCACACTACAGACCAAAAAGTTATGTCAAATATATTTTTTGTCATTGTAATTTTATCAACATTTTCTTCAAAGCTTCCTTAAGGTGAGGTTCAACAGAATTTATTAGTGGAATTCAACATTTCAACAAGGGATATATGATTTAGATTATAAGAATTAGATGTTTGTGTTTAATGTTCAAATAAACCAAAGCTCCAGAAATTGACTGTACTGGATTTAAAATAGATTATGTCAGAATTTGTATTTAATTTACATTTCTTTTATTTCTGGCTGGACATGAAGACCTCACATACTGTAGGTAGCACCACTTACCTTGAACTTAAAAAGAACATAAGATGTGTTACAAATGAGAGGGAGAATGGGCTCCTCTTTAAACCTGCATTCACTAAAAACCCTGATAGCTCTATAAGGTCTGTATAAAAGGGGTAAAACAAGGTTCTAACAAGAAATATCTTTCATCATACACTGTTGCCATAGACAGCTTCTTACAACTCACAATCAGAAGAAACATAAAATTACTTCTAGGTGAGATTAAAAAAATGCTTTGTTTGATGTAATAGGCATTCATTTTCTATAATCTAGTTACCATTGCAGTGGGTATTTTACACAAATGCACAAATAGGGATTTTGCAGGAGTACTCTACGTGAAGTACATTGTTTTCACAGTACAAAAAGCTGTTTACTGCCTTGAATTTGAACTCATAACCTTCCTGCTCCAGAGACCTAACCACTTCACCTCATAAATGCCTTCTGTCTACAGCACTACCTACCTGCATGTTGACTCTTTCAATGACACAGGAAATCACATGGAGGACTTGCATTTTGGTGTCACATTCTGTCACTTGCTGAAGCAGCTGGAAAAGCAGGCTGAAAATGGACTCCAGGTACTACAAATTAGGAAACATAAGCTGTGATGAAATTTTGAGATATTCAGAAATCAGAGATATTCAAAGCAAAATTGAGCAGACAGAGAGAGACAGACTGATTAACAGACATATTTAATTCATATAAAATTAAATTAAAAATGCTATCTGCAGGCACCTTTCAAGACATAGGTGTTTATGCTGACTATTTATTTCTTCTAGACAATGTGGGGAAGCAATGCAAAAAAGCAAACACTGTTAAAATATAGTTAAAAGTACAGAATTTAAATTAGGGGATATTATGTTATAATTGCACAATGCACTGGTGAGAAAATGAAGAATGTTGTGTACAATTTTAGTCACCATACAAAAAATATATTTCTCCTTTGTAATCAGTCCAATGAAGAGCCGACGGTCACATTCCCAAACTCAAAGGAATGTCCTGACAAGCTAAAACTGAATCTTTGTAGTCTTGAACAGAGGGATATGAGGAAACCTAATTAATGTACACAAAGTCCTCACAGGCAATAAAGTCAAACCAGTGGTTTTCTTCAGATTCAACACTAAAACATGAATGAGAGGACACAATCAGAAACTGTAAGGAAGGTGTATTTAAAACTGAATACATGAGGCATTTGACACAAAGGATTGTGGGAATTGGGAACAAGCTACCCAGCCATGTTGTCGAAGTCGATAGCAAAGCTTTTTTCAAGAAATGCCAAGACAAGCTGCTCAGATTATTTAGCTTCCAGCAACCAAACAGGCCAGATAGTCCAAATTACCCCTCTCAATCTTATGTTCCATATGCTCCTGTGGTGCAGGAATAAACCTTAATTATTCATCAGTCTTGTTCTGCCATAAGCATACTTTTGAGATTATTTCTCCCTCTGGTTTCTAAGCTTTAGTTCTTAGAAATGTGTTACTGCAGATCATATAAGCAAACGTAGGTTCAATAAAATGTTAGCTATAGATTCTTTAAAGGTTATTTTTATAAATGGTCCATTAATATAGAGAAGTACTCTTTTGGGTTTGGGAAGAGCAAAGCAGATCTGATTAATAAAAGAAATTCTTTACAATTTTAAATAAAGAAATGACTTTTTTTTTTTACTTATTCACGTCTACCTAAAATGTTATGTTAGATGCTTACACTCACCGGTAAAAACTGTTCCGTTCTAAATTCAAAGTCATCAACAGGTAATCCAAGGTTAAGGCATTTATACTCAGATTTGCAAAACAGCCAGGCAGCACAGAGGACAGAGTCATCCTAATTAATCCCTGTACAACGTACACTACATCCAATCGTTTTTTTTACATATACATGGTTATGAAATATTCATTCAAAATTAAGCCCAACTGGGTTGACATTCACTTGACAACTCTCTGGTGTGTATTGTCTAGTTCTAAACCTGCTATGATGTTTGCAACACCTTACATGTGAAATAGTTGAAAGAAAACCATCATGCTTATCTTGTAAGACATAGTAGTAACAGTCGATGGTGTAAGACATGATAAACTGATTCTACAGTATATGTACATAATTAAGAATAAAGGCAACATCACCACATACGAAATCCGTTTTCATAATTTACAGTCTCAACCTTACAGTATTATTACAGCAGTACACTCGGGGAAAATGCAGAGAAGCATTTTCTTTCTTCTATCAACTACAGTCTTCTTTGAAAACACAAGTAGAAAGGATATCAAGCTTCAGTGTTGTAGCAGTCTCAATGCGGACCTGTAAAACAAACAGAAACGTCATTTAAAACATATTTTGCTTTTCCTGTTAGCTTATAATATAATTGAGGATAGGAAAGAGTTTTAGTAGAGAAGGCATTAAATGAAGGCATAATATGAGGCCAACCACTTCTTCCTGCCAAGCAAACAGATGGTTAATGCTTGGCAAATAGCACCCGTCGCTAATGTCCAAGAGTAATGCTGCCCTAGAAGTGCAGTGTGACACCATCCTGAGTGACTTCAATTTGCAATGAAGCATGAGGCACCATGATTCTCCCAACTCCCCAATAACTGTTGGTTTTGATAAAGCTTTCTGCCTTCTTTAAGCCTGCAATCTGTTCTTTCAAAAGCTAAATGCATTTCAATTGTAAAAGGACAAGAAGACTAAAACAGGGCATGAAAGGTCCAATAAAAAGTTGCAAATCCCTTCCTGCAGACCCTTGTCCCATGTGAGCAGGTGAGCTAGGAAAGAACAATGCACTACTATGGATTAAACGCATTGCATCCAACAAACTGCTAACATCAAGGCACTTAGATTTCCAAGAATAATCCCTAAAATATGGATTTATATAAACTAGCAGTATGGATATTATGTCTTATATGTCATATTTAAATATCTCCTCATATTAGAAAGGAACAAAATAGGAAAACAGCCTAGGACTCAAAGCTGTGCGGAAATGAAAACCAAGATCTGGGAATGTTAACCAACAATGATGCCCTTTCCACTGCATATTTTAAATATCAATTTAAGGTATATTTTGCAGAGATGATGAGCTGAGTAGCTATCATTATCAATAACTAGATCAATTAATTAATATAGTTTAATGTTAATTTAAAATTATGTTTTAGATAGAAAAAATATTCACTCAGTTTTAGCTAGGTAATAGATCGGAATTACTGATCTCATCCACATGATGTGTGAACATGTAAATACCCTTTACAAAGGCAAGGATAAAAAAGGTATTAACCTACTCAAATATTCTCAGTCCTATCATGTATGTTTGAGAAAAAAAAACTGCTACTTAAAATGTGTGCATCTAAATACTGTAAGCACTTGCAGGATTTGTATTTCACTGTTTTATTTGTTAGTTTTCATTGCCAGTCCCTTGTTATGGATATGAGTGTCTAATCCTGTCTCTTTTCATGCATATGAGTTGCTAATCTATTCAGGCATTGCTATAGTCCTAGATCCATCAGTACAGACTTTTCACACAATTCAAGCAACTTGACAAAGTTTCTCGTCTTAGAAGAGCGTGCTATACAGGCACCTTTCTTTTTACTATTCAGCTGCAGAACAACTATTCATATTTAACTGCAAAAAGCAGCGACGTGTTAAAATGGTGTGCACGTTTACCTGCTCTGTTATCACTTATAATAAAAAAGCACATCAATTACAAAAAGAATATAACACCTTGATGGAAAAGGGTAATTTAATGATAAGGCTGATAAAAATCCCTTTTACAATAACAAATACTTGCTTAGCGCAATACTTGCTTGCAAACAAGGTTGCTGCTCAAGAAGATTTCATTTTAAAAGAAGATACTGATACTTTCAAAGCTTATAAAACTAACACCTCTGGATTATTTTAACAATCAGGACATGGTTATCCGTCTATACTGAACTTGTATTAGCTGATTTAAAAAATGCACTAAAATAATTAAGAACCATTCACAAAATTTGTGAAGAATGAATTTTCATCTGATATGTGAGTTACTCTAAGCAGACTACTTGGAAAACAAAAGACGCAGAAGCTAACTAGAAGCAGATGTGACAACGACAGCTCTCGTCTTTAATAGTAATTAAATCCTTTTTAAGTTATGTACCTGATTCGCCAAATTGGAGATGTCAAATGTGAATAAAAAATGCAAACGGCTAGAATGTTTTTTTTGCAACATTTTCAACCAGAATTTATTTATTTTACTTAACATTTGTCATGTGCCAATGGAACTACAACAAAGCAGCTGTGATTTGTTTTGTTAATTTTAGCATTATGAAACTCCTAAATCTCCTTGGGAGTACCACCATGTTGAATGTTGAAGGCCCAGGCCCTGAGGTGTGGCTGCCTGATAATTGAGAAGAGCAGTTTCAGTACCCCCAGCAAGTGGAATTCCATGTAAGGGAAAGGAGCTGTTAAACTGTTAATCTCTCCACAGTATTCGCCACTCCTCTGAGGGTAATTAGATGGCTCAGGCTGGCATTGTCACAACATGTGGCAGTTGAATGAAATGACTTGTGAAATTATTGTACTGATAAACAGCTCCAGTGACTATGATAGTACAAGTCTTCAGATTTTAAATACTACTTCAAACGGATTGGACTGTTCTATTGAAGTTTAATCATAGGAGTTCGGCATACAGTGCCTTCTAACCTATTGATTTTCCTGAACAAAGTTTATAAAGTTGTGTGAATAAAACATTTGCCCTCTTTCAGATTTTGAGCATGTTTGCATGTTTTTGCCACTAAACGTTATCGGAGCTTCGTGTGGGTCCTAATGCTATATAAAGGGAGTCCGAGTGACCACATACTGTAACACCAAAGTTTGGTACATGTTTTATTTATTTAATCATCCTACATCCGATGTCACTGTGTGAAAAATTTAACACCACACTAATCCAATCAATTCAATGGATAACTAGGGACAGCTTTTTGAATACTTCATTAAACAGTCAGGACTGATGTGGGCCAGCCTTGCTCTACATAAAACTCACAGGCTCTGGCACTCATCATCACAGCAAAGTTCTTGCACAACGGTTTGATTGAAACATCCAGTGTAGGGTGCAGAGCAATAGGAAGGAAAAAGGCACAAAAAAAAAGCTCAGACAACAAGAACAAGCACTATTAATATTCCATATAACCTCTTCAGTACATTATTACAGTGCATGAGAATCATACACCTACACTGTACAGAGCACAAGGTGCATTTTGTTTGTCTGTATGGTAAAAAATAAGAGTGAAATAAGTACAAAATACAAGCAGATAAAAAAGAATTTCCACTTTTACCAAAATCTCTTGATTTATATTCAGGCATCCAAAAAAGAATAATGCCCCTGGTCTCTAATATAATTTTACACTTTAAATTTGACCTATCCAATCTGCACCTATCCCAAAATTTGATTGCTTCATTGCATTTGCAAGGAAAACTAATTTACCAGGCTATACTGTATTATTGTGTGGCAATGAGTCTGAATGTGTAGAGGGATTTCTGAAAAAGAGGTCGACCGCTATCCACATTCTCAAGAGCAGGCAGTGATAAGAACGCAGAAATAAGACGACAGACACATTTATTTAAAATAATTCTTGATTCTTGTGTACTGAAACTTACTATACCTTTCCTTTTAGACACCAGGCTAACTCCAATGGTCTATCATACATCAGCAGATCTACAGTTTCAGCAGCATTAATTTTATTTACTTCTTTTTGGGAAAGAAAAAGGTACAAATCCATACATTTCTGCAAATGGGTAAATAAGACAAAAGCAAGCTCAGTGTATTTTAGAAAGGATATATTTCTCCCAGGAGGAATCTAAACAAGATTACATTATATTCCAATGAATACCATGACCTTGTCAAAGATGCACACTTGACAAAAAATCTCTTGGGGTTATTCCAGTTACTCAGTTGACACTGCTACATTTAAAAAAAAGAATTGACAAAACACATGCACCCCACCAGCTGACAGTCCAGTCATTAATAAGCACTGACATATTACAGTCAAGCCTGAACTAAACAGCCAATTTCAGTCCTTCGCTGAATATATGCATTATTTTCACAAGCTAGAAGGTAAAGTTCCTGGTAAATGAATGCAGTGTGTATTGTAGTAAATAAGACAGGGGGAAAATGCAGTCTTCATAAGTGTTAGAGGTCGGGTGTTGCAGTGTAAGGGTTTGGTTGGTTGCGATGCCTAACCACAAGAATGAAATGGTTGTGTCAACAGGTTAGATAGAGAAATCGGGGCAAATGGGTGCACAAGGTTTAGCTCCAAAGGTCAGGAGCTCTGGTCTTCACCTGTGGTTAGTATGTAGGTGTAGCTCAGCTGTGGATGTGTCGGAGAGCAGGTTAGGGTAATGGTTACCATCCCTGGCCAAACAGGATCAGGCAAGGAGGTTTTCACTGCTATTAGCAGTGATTAATCAGGTCAAGGTTGTCCTGGGTTAAAGGTTAAGTTAAGAGCAAAGGAGAGAGATAAGGTTAGTTTGCTCTTCCCCAGAAGGGGCTAGACTAAAACAGTTTATAAAACTGAGAAAGAATTTAGGTTGAAGGGTTTCCACACCCTATGGTGAACATGGAAGGGAAGACTGCTCCCTTCACGTGTAGTTCCCTTGTCCCATGGCTCAGGTGTTTGGCAAGCCTACAGTGTGTAAGCCCCTGCGTTGCAAAGAGGTGGTTGCTGAATGGTTATGGTTCACAGTTTGTTCACAGGTAGCTGGTGTGTGTTCTCCTGAGCATGGTTATACAGTGTGGTGTACAGTCTCTGTCTTATGGTTGTCTGGTTTACTAACTATAGTCTTTCCAGAGCAGCGAAACAGGACAGGTTAGCACAAACGCCACAGTTTACATTTGCATAACTGGGAAAGCATGAATGGCTGGTTTATGGGTTGTTATGGTGCTCACACCAGTGACGAGCAGAGACTTGCTACAATGAGTTCCAATAAACTTCCATTGTTACATTTTAATAGGATTGTTTTTTAATTTTCCTGATCACAAAAAACATTGACAAAATATGCTAAACCTCAGAAACTCAGTAGTGTAGCTCTTCAGGTTACCCAGAATAACACTATAATACAATCTTTTTTTGTTAATACCTTTTTTTCCAACCAGTTGTTATAACACTCATTTTTTTCTGTTGTAAAACAAAACAAAACTACACTGTAAGTGGAAATAAACAATTTTCTATTGTATTGCTGCAGACTTTACATTGCTTAACACATATCAAGAGACATAAGTTTAAAATTAGGGAATCTGAGGGAAGTTGTACAAAAAAGATGGCTTTCATTTTAATATT